TTTCCCTAATCTATCCATGCTGGACCTACTCTCCTCATCCTCTGAACTCAGACTATTTGTTTTCCATAACATGGAAACGCTCTGATTAGTAGTTGTTTGTATATACACCTTGTTTCCCTAATGAGATTGTAGAGACTCTGCCTACAGAAATTTCCACCTATAGGAATTCATTCAAATAGAAAAATACAAAGTATAATACAAAGACACATACCAATTATAAAAGACTTATCCATCTAGAAGTGATCTCTCCTCAAAAAAAAAAAAGTAGCTGAAATTCACACAGCCCTTCAGTTTCAAAAGCATTCATTGTCTTATTTGAGGCTCTCAATAACCCTGAGAGATAGTCACAACAAATGATTTCATCTCCATTTTACAGATGAGGAAATTGAAGTTCGAAGAGGTAAAATACGATTTGCCAGTTTAAAGTCAGATAGCTATGGAGTATCCAAATTTTGGGCTTCCTGACTCACATCCAACATTCTACCTATCATCCCTTGCTATCTCTCTAATTTCATGGTATTTCATCCTTCTGTTCTGCACTTATTGTATTGCAATTTCATTATATTTTTCAAAGTTACTTCTAATAGACTACAAAGGTTTGTGCTATATATGTGTATGTATAATGTGTGTGTGTGTGTGTGTGTGTATACCTTTGTATCTTTACCAGTCATTAGCATAGGAAATGGATCAGTAATTGTCTATAAAATGAATAAGAAGTACAAGGTATAAAGTGCTATGGGAAAAGGAGAAAGAAGATATCACTTCAGGTTTAGGCAGTGGAGAGATTCAAGGAAGACTTCATAGAGGAAACAAGTATTGGACTGATCCTCAAGCAATGCCTAGATATTAGAAAGATGGAACTAAAACAGAAGGGCTTTGGAGTCAGAGAGAATGATGTGAACAAAGGCAAGGAGGTGGGAAAATCCAGTGCATGATAGGGTAACAGTTATTGAGTCCTCTCTGGCTCGAGCATATGCATGTGAAGGGTCTAGTGAAGAATACTATCAATTTGTTAAGCATAAAGTCCAAGGACAAATCAAGTCAGAAGAATTAGTGGAAGAGATTCACACTCTTAGCTACAACAATGTTAAGTAGGCAATAAATAGAAGTCAACAAAATAATGGACAAGATTTGCAAAAGTTACAATCTCTTATAAAATAAAAAGTATCGCCAATGTGAGAAAATAAAGCCAATGAAATATTTAAATTAACTCTAGCATACAAATATGAAATGAAGATAATAATGCTTGCCACCCACCTAACCAGACTGCAATAACAATTAATGAGGAAGCACAGCTGTACTATCCTGGAACTCCTTGGAAGTGAAGAGATCATATGCATATACATATGTATATTGGAGACATACATTATATATTAACATACTGAGTATTACTATATAAAATTAGATCAAGGCACAGCATGTCCAAGATGAGTAGGGCAGAAGCAATGTGTTCTTGCTTACAGTATCAGGCTCATGACAGTGATTCATACCCAGCTCCTTTCATGCCAAAGAATCCCAAGGTGTTCCACGAACTTTAGCAACAGCTTTCCTAAACCACAGCGGCAGTGTAGAGGGGAGAACATCACCCCCACAGATGAGCTGAAACTGTTACCTGCACTAAACTACGCCCAGAGCCCATCTTTGGAAGGAGTAGGAGGGAAAGGGGAAGCATGAGAACCACAGAAGGCTCCTGAGGAGTTTGACAGGCAGCCTATAATTACCATAAATTTGCACCTCTAATACCCGCATTACAGTAATCAGCCCCCCTTCTTGGCAAAGGTTTCTAGCTAAAGGTTAAGCAGTTTCAAAAGGTATGTGTTGCATGTAGCAATGAAGAATGGGGAAACAAATTTATAAGCTAGGCATTTAGAAGTAGGAATGGGGTAAAGGATAGAGTGCTGGGCTTAGGGACGGGAAGTTTGTTTGAATCCTGTGTTTGAATCCTGCCTTGGACACTTACTAGCCACATTATGACCTTAAGCAAGTGTTTTAATCTCTCAGCCTCAGTTTCCTCATCCATAAATAGCACCTACCTCAAAGAGTTGCAATGAGAATCAAATGAGCTAATGTTTAGAAAGTACATAACCATACTGAGAGTAATAATCTAAATATTAGCTATTATTACATGTATGCAATTATCATCAATCACCAATATTTATCTCAAATTGATGTTAATAGTTTCATTACTGAGTGAAATAGGCTGACTTGTGTATGCATATACATATGTATACACATATTTCACTCAGTAGTATGCATGTGTATCTATGTGTACATATATATATACATACATATATCCATGTGTATATACATATATGTATATCTTCCCATTTAAGTCCTACCACTTCCATGTAAATGATCTCTTTAAGTGGGGCACTGACAGATCACAGAGCCAAAAGAGAATTTAGAGATCATCTAGTCCAATCCCCTCATTTTTATAGATGAGGAAAATGAACCCTAGAAAGTCAAATAATTTGCCATAGGTCACAGAGGTAATAAATGGCAAAGACTAGATTTGAACCCAAGCTTTCCAGTTGCAAATCCAGTGCTCTTTGTATTCCACACCGATCCTCCTCTCCTAAACAGTAATGACTAATGACTATTCTTTTTTCTTGCTTCCCAAGTTTCTTCTCAAGCTGGCTGTTTCTCCAGAGACAAAACATTTGAAGGGCAGGAATGGCAATGACTAGGTAGTTGTGGATGGTCAAACATTCAGCAGTCACATCCCATAGTGCCAATTACAACATTTCAGAAGGCTTTGCATATTACCCTTCCAAACCACTAGCCCAGCTAAGTCCTGCTGGGTTTGCATCCATGTACAAGGAAAGAAAAGCAGCCCTATGGGTCTCAACTACATAGACATAAATGATCAGGGGGTGCTTCTTACATGGAGAGTATGTTATTTGCCAAGGAAATACCCATCTCCCTCTTTCCAAGACCTTTTGAGAGATGAACTAAAGCAAGGGTTTAATTGGTAAGTGATATTTTACGGCTTGGATAACAGTAAAAGCCAGAAATATTTCAAGTCAAAAATCTTTTGCTTCCCAGTGCGACAAGACCTACATGTTTGATGTATTTAAAACCTGCCTTTAAAGCCAGAAGCTTTTTCTTAATCACTTAAAGCACTGGAAAGTTGTTCCATCAGTTTAAGAAGACTCAAGTTCAAATGGGGGGGGGGGGAAGTATTTTAAGTGGTTATAACATGAAAGATCCAAGAGTTTAGGTGTAAGGAATAGGACAAAAGTGTACAGAATCTGAATGGAAGTAATTTCTTTGATCAAATAATTGAAGAAGTTTCTCAAACCTTGATAAAATGAGCCCCCTCCATAAAAGCTGAATTCCAAGGAAAACCTTGTGGATGTTAGAATGACAGCTATGATCAACACTATTTTTTTTTTTTGGTGAGGTGATTGGGGTTGAGTGACTTGCCCAGGGTCACACAGCAAGTAAGTGTCAAGTGTCTGAGGCCAGATTTGAATTCAGGTCCTCCTGAATCCAGGGCCGGTGCTCTATCCACTGTGCCACCTACCTGCCTCAACACTACTTTTTTTTTTTAATTCCTGATTTACCTAAACATATACTAAAGGAATTAACATTTTAAAATAATGACCTTCTGGATAGGAGCAACTCCTCTTATGAGGAACTAACAATGAATACAGCTATTTAAGTGACAAGGCTCTGGAAAAAAATTTTAGCTATTACATTACAATGGAAAATATCATGAAGGGTACTAGGCTGAATAATCTGTATGTAGTATGAACAATAAAATCTCACATTTCCGATTGAATGCTTGTTCCCACCCTCTCATCCCTAGTTTTAATACTTTTCTGTCTGCTTTATGACAGCCTATTGAACTTTCCTTACTTTTCAGATTTCTTTAGCTATCCACAGTTCCTTTTCTGTTAAAATTTCCAAGTTCTATTTAAACTTGAGTGGTGCCCAGCACCCTCCACTTCAAAAGTGGCAACGTTTGTACAAAAAGGCGAATTAGTTTGTTTTGTTTTGTTTTTTAAATCAATCTTCACCTCCTAGCTAGAGGAAATGTTGCAAGAAGAGTCCACCTGCTGCCTATTCTCCCCACCTTCAACCGTTTCTTTCCAGCTCATCCCCTGCACCCATAAAAATGGGTTTCTACATTTGCTGTTATTCACCAGAGGTAAAGCAAAGGAAGGAAGAACAGGGGGTTGTTGTAACTGCTGTGTCTGATCTTTCTGGGACCAGGAAGTACTAGACTAGAACAACCATTCATTCACATGCTGGAAAACCCCGAACTCTGACAACACACACGCTGATGTTGTTAGGGGATGCTGTAGTGTTCTCCCTGAAACATGCATCCGCTTGTTCCCAAGAAACAGGAATACATTAAGGGCACCAGCTTGCCACTGCAGTCCTTCAGAGGATGGGGAAAATGAGGAGGGCACAGGGTTCCACACCACGGATATTCTACACCTAAAGACTTTTCTGTCTCATACTCAAAGCCCTTAACTAAGTCTTGCAAATAATGAACAAGGCATTTTAAGCTGCTTGAAAATTTAACCCTTCACTTTCTATGTTCCTAATACTTTGGGGAAAAAAATGCTATTATCTGCATGATCACAGTCTCCATCACCATAAATTGGGGGCGGGGGAGGCCCGAACATAGTTTATGTGAACTGCAAGTGCTTTAGAAAAATTCGGCATTCAGCGACACTCACTGGATTGCTTTTGGGGAAAGAAGGTGGTAGGGTTAACAGGAGGTATTATTACTCCCGGGTTAAAAAAAATGAGGGGAGGAAGAGGAGAAAAACTGATGGTCAGTAGCATCTTAAATTCAGAAGCCTCCCCCCTCCCCCGTCCCAGTTTCCACCCATGTCCTCTGCCTGTTTTAACCATTTCCTTCCCAGTTCTGGGCTCCAGGGACGTCCCCCGATTCCCAGAAAGAGACCTTCACCCCCCCCCACACACACACACCCTACCCCCATACACATTCTCCCGGAAGGCTTGGCCTCCTCTTTGCTACTCACACTGCTGTTGTGACCTGACCAGTGGACCATGGCTTGGTTGTGTGCTGAGTCCCCGGTCAGCGCAAACGTGGTACTTGTCAGTCTCAGCTCCTCTAGCCGGAACCGGGTGGCTTTGCCAGGCTCCCGCTGCCCTCCGTCCCCCGGTGGCCCCCGTGGGCGCCTGCCCTCACCGTTGTCTTCCTTTTCTTTTTCCACCTCACTCCGTCTCCTCCGGATGGAGCGAAGTCCTCCGGTCCCGCTGTCGTCGCCTGGGCCCCTCTCGAGGGAAAGAGCCCTGTCCCCGGGGGCCACTGTAAACACCGGGCGGCGGGGGAATGGCATGGGAGCCGCGGGCGCTCTACTCGGCTTGGCAGGAGCCCCGGAGCGCCGCTGCTCCCCAGGAACAGCCCCCGGCCCCGGCTTCTCTTGGGGCCCCAGAGGGGGTGTCCCAGCTCGGGCTGGTGTCCAGCGCTGGGCCGATCCGGGGCACGGTGGGGGGCAACAGGAGCCGCCCCCGCCCCCGCCACAGGCGCCCCGGGCGCAAAGAAGCAAGATCCCGGTGCGAGCGAGGAGCGCGCAGAGCCGGGTTGGGCAGCCGCCGCCGCCGCTGCCTCCGCCAACTTTTCCCATCGCTGGAGCTGAGCAGACAAGAGAAGAGGGTCCCGGACGGGGAGTGGAAGTAGAGGGGTCGCCTCTGACCTGGTATTGAGGGAGCTCAGGACCCCAAATCCATCCAAGTTGGGCCAGTTGGGGGGCAGGAGGACAGAGGCAGAGAGGGCGCCGGGGCAGGTGTAGCTGGTTCCCAGGGCTGGGCTAGTGCCGCCGAGAGCAGTTTTTGACAGAGGGAGCAGCCGCCACACGGGGGTGGAGCTGAACTGAAGTCAGAGGCAGAGGGGTAGCTGGCTGGCTGGCTGGCTGGCTGGTCTGCGAAGTGGGGGGAGCTGCCGGGGGCTCCCGGCCGCCCCGCGTGCTGCTCTCCAATCTCCCTTGCAGTGCGCTGCCCAGGGCTGCCCTGCGCTGCTGCTCTGAGCTGCGCTTTGGCGATCCCGAGCGCCCCGGACAGGCTGAGCTGCCGCCGCCGCCGCCCGAGTCTCCCACTCGTGAGCGCTGCTGCCCACTCCCAGCACGCTCCTCGCTCTCCCAGCCCCCTCAGCGGCTTGCCCACGCTGCCCTTTCCGCGGGGGCGGCTGGCCTCAAGCTATCTACACTTTCCCAATGTCGTGAATGCTCTCTCCACTCCCCAACTCGTTTTTTTTTCCCTAGTCTTTTCCAGTAGGAGGGGTTTCCCAAGCCCACGAGGCCAGCAGTTTCCCTCCTCTGTCAGCAAGCTAGCACCTTGACCTGACCCAATGCGCACCTCTGTAGCCCGTCAGGGAAGAGAGCCGCAAGGAGGAATGTTAATGAGTGATTGATTGCCATCGTCACTTTTTTTAAAAGGTAGACTCAATACAACTGGGGCTAGTACTAAGGACTATTTGGTCCCTTTCAAAGAATAAAAGGACCTTAGAGCTTCAAAGGCCTTAGAGATCATATCCTCCAATCAACATTTATTAAACACCTACCATATGCTATCACTCTTAACTGCAATCTACATTTTGCAGCCGGGGTAACTGAGGCCTAGGGTAGAAGAAACTTGTCTAGAGATTGCACTGTGACCTGCTGGCAGATCCAGGGCTAGAATTAAGGTTTTTCAATTCAGTTGCTTTTTCCACTACTTTAAACTGCCTGGGTTTGGAATCTAAATTCCTAGTACAGGATTCAAGAAGTTTTATCATTGATTGTGCTAGTAAAGAAATGCTGGGAAGAAGACAGAAGGAAAGAAAGAGAGAGAAGGAAGGAAGGAGGAAAGAAAGGAAGAAGAAAGGAGGGAGGGAAGAAGAGAGGGAGAAAGAAAGAGAGAGAGGTAGAAACAAAGAAAAAAGAAGAGATGGAGAAAGAAAGAGAAAAGGGGGAGAGAGAAAGAAAAAAGAAATGAGGGAGAAAGAAAGAGAAGGAAGGAAAAGGAAAGGTAAAAATAGTCCTTGCCCTCAAAGAGCCTGCATTGTAATGGAGAAATCAACATGCAGGCAACCATACACAAACTGAATAAACACAAGATAAATTGGAGGCAATCTCAGGGGGATTAAGAAGTACTGAGAAAGGCATCTTGAAGAAGGCTGGATTTCAGCAAAGGGTTGAAGGGAAACCAGGAGGCAGAGGTAAAAAGGGAGGTCGTTCCAAGTTTGGGGAGTGGGAGTGAGTAGTGAAAATGAACTAAGACAGGAAATGGAGTACCATGCACAAAGAACCTCAAGGCTGAATCACAGAGTAAGTGGAGGGGAGTAAAGAAGATTGGAAACATAGAAAGGGATCAGGTTATGAAGGATTTTAAAAGCCAAAGAATATATTTTGTTTGTTCTTGAAGGTAATAGGGAGCCACTAAAGTCTATTGAATGGGGAGGGGTGACCTGGTGAAACTTGAAAATCCCAGCTCTGCCATTTATTAACTGTATGACTTTGGAGAGATAGTTTCATTTCTCTGAACCTCAGTTTCCTCCTTAGTAAAATAAGGTAGTTGGATCAGGTGTTAGCTAAAGTCCTTTCCCACTCTCCCAGTATTCTTTAATTCTATGTACCTCCAATTCCACACATATTTATTGAGTTTGTGCTATATACAAGACCCTACAGAGATGAAAAATGCATAATCCTTACCCTCAAGGAAATTATAGGTTAGTAGGGAAAGTATCCTCTGAATACTTCTGACACTTAAATATAACCCCAGGTGGAATGGCTGGCAGAAGATAGGTACAAAAAAATGTTCTGGGGCTTCAGAGAAGAGATGGGAAACATTTCTGAAAGATGAACCAGATTTTCCATTGCCCTAGTTTATTCTTTAAAGTTTGGTATTTGATTATCTTGAACACAGCAGATTTATTCTATTTAGTATTGCTTTCTGGATAAGCCATCAAAAGAGAAAATTTTGGGTCTAAAAGGCTCCTTAGAGGTCATCTAGTCCAAGCCAGATTTAGAAGTCTTCTGACTTCAAGTCCAGGGGTGTTTTGAAATGTTTCTTCAGTTAGCTTCCCAAAAAGATTTTAAATTAGTTGACAGCCACATAGTCATCTTCTGGGTCATAAACCTTCTAGGGTCCTGGGCACTTAGAGCTAGAGACTCAGGATTCTAGTACCAATTATTCTTACTAACCTACTGTTTAAACAGGTTGAAACAGGACCTGTAAATGGGTGCCATTATCTCTCTGGGTCTATTTCCTCATGTACAAAAGCATGAAATTGGACAGACCTCTAAGGTGCCTTAAATCTCTGTTAATACTGGTTCACTCAATCCAATAAATGTTTACTGAGATCTACAATGTTCTTATGCACTGTTGTAGAAGTGAAAGGAAAGGAAATTGAGACAATCCCTGCCCTAAGCAATTTATAATTTAATAGGGTCTGATACCATGATTCCATGAATCTTTGAAGACACCTTACAAGTTTAAAATGCCAAAGAAGAGAATATCTTTTAATTAGACTAGAAGCATCAGGAGGGTTGAGCATCTTATATCTGTTTTATAGGCCTACTGTACTGAATGGAAGGCTGCAGTGAGAGGAGGAATTCAATAAATACTTGAGGAATGAAGGAATGAATGAGTGAATGTCATTTGTCACTGTGCCAGTGACAGTAATTACAATGATCACAATGGTGACTACAATACCAGAGCCTTATTCTCTAGATAGCCTTCTGGTTTATCAAATATTACTTTTATTCTTCTGTAACTAAACTGTTTCTGATGGTCAGATTGTGGCTACTCTTCTTTGGCAAATAGTGTCATGGGAATTATTTGCAAGGTATTATTTGTGTTAAGACCAATGAGTAAGAAGTTGGACCTAGGACCAGAAATCTCAGCCTCCGAATTGAGAAACTGAAGAGAGAAGTAAAATATACAAGTTTAACTTGAAGAATTCTTTTTTTATCTTTTTCTTAGGGTGAATCCCCTGTGAGGACTGGGGCTTACACTCAGATCATATGGAAAGACTTGTTTCTTCCTAAAGAATGGAGATCTTCTAGCTTTCAGTAATGTCTAGACATGATGGAGGATCCACTGGCCTCCTTGCTAAGCCCCAAAGGTCCTGTGTTGGGGCTCAAAGAATAACTAGGTAATTCAGCAGTCCAGAGTTGCTTCTTCGTTCTCCTCTCTGAAAGGTCTTCAGTGGTTTGCAGGATCATTTCCTTAATGCATTCCCATGCTCTGCTAACCTTTTTTTTTTTTTTTTTTTTTCCTCAGCCTAGATTAAGTGAGAATCTTTCTGGGTAAGGGAAAATGAATTTAAAATTAACCTAAATGAATGTCCATTAGAAGAAGACTTCTCACTACTAGTAGCAGCAATTATAATGATTGTAATAGTATTTATATAGCACTTTAAGGTTTACAAAGGACTTTACATTGTCTCTTCATAATAATTCAGGGAAATAGGTGCTATTATACCCATTATATAGATGGGTAAACTGAGGCACAGAAAGGTTAAGTGACTTGCCTAGAGTCATACAGCTAGTAAGTGTCTGAGTCTAGATTTAAACTCAGGTTTTCTTGACAAAAGGTTCAGTGCTCTAGCTACTGTGCCACCTGTGTAGTTGAAGGAGCAAACTTGCACCTGAATCAAACAATCTGACACTTGAAAGGGACCTATTAGGAGGTCATGGTACAATAGAAAGGACAGTGGATTTGGAGTCAGGAGACCTACTCCTCAAGTGACTTTGGGCAAATCACTTCCTTGTTCTGGGCCTTGGTTTATACACCTTTAAAATGTTTTAAACTACATGACTATTAAAGTCCCTTCCAGGTCATACAAACCTAGGATCCTCAGAGGTCATGTGGTCTAACGTGCTAGATCAGGCATCTTCTCTATAACATACCTGATGTTGTAATCCAGCCTCTATTTGAAAACCTTTAATGACAGGAAACTACCTCTCTCTAGGCAGTTCATTGTATTTTTGGCTAGCTTTGTTTTTTTTTTGTTTTTGTTTTGTTTTGTTTTGTTTTGTTTTTTTAATGTATATTGAATACAAATCTGCTTTTCTGCAGCTTTATCAGTTGGACAGTTCTGTCCTCTGTGGCAAAGCAAGACACGCCTTATCCCAGAGTTCCCTCTCTTCCCACTTTCTAGTACCCCTTTGGGGTTGTCTTCTTGAAAAGGAAATGCCTTCCTCATTGTATCGCATATTTATATTCACGGTGTTTAGCACGTCTTATGCTCAGTTAATGCTCATTCTTCTATTGATCCATTCATTTGTTCCCGTATGTCCATGACAGACTTTCACATTACTTGATAATGACTATCATGGTGGTTATATCATGTAGTGGAAAGACCACTGTATATAAAGTCAGAAATCCTGTGCTCAGCCACTTAATGCCCATATGACCTTGGGCGAATTATCTAATTTTTCCAGGCCTTAAGCTCCTCATTTGTAAGGAGTGTTTGTATTTGTATTTTTATTTATTATGTTAAATACTACAATCCTTTCCATTTCTAAATCCCCTAACCAAATTTGGAGTATTTTAACTTGTTCATGAGCACTGATTAAATGGGAGGAGGAGAGCAGTTTAGATTACTGTCAGAAAAATGGAAACCTTTAGTAATCTCAAACTTCTA